CAGACGCTTAATGACTGAGCCACCCAGGCACCCAGTTATACCTCAATTTTTAAAAATACTCAGTTGACTTTAACAGTAGGACAAATAGAAATTTGATCAATGGTTTTGATACTTGTGCTAATCCCATTAGTTTTTTTAAGAACAGCTTTTATTGAGATATAATTTACGTACCGTACAATTCAACCATTTAAAATGTACAACTTCATGATTCTTAATATATTAACAGATATGTGCAACCATCACTGTAGAGCACTTTGAATATCTTATCTACCTTCTGACGTCACTGTTTCTGATGAAAGGTCAACTGTTAATCTTATTGGAGTTACCTTATAAGTGAGGGGTCACTTTTCCCTTGCTACTTTTAGGATTTTCTCCTTGTCTGGCTTTCAGCAGTTTTACCATGATGTACCTGTTTATGGACCTCTTTGCAGATGGTAGTGGTAGTGGTGGTAGTATAAATGACTTAGAGTTTGTTGAGCTTCCTGAATGTGCAAATTAATTTTTTTCAGTAAATTTGGAGATTTTTCAGCCTTAATTTTTTTTTTTTAAGATTTTATTTATTTGACAGAGAGAGAGACAGCGAGAGAGGGAACACAAGCAGGGGGAGTGAGAGAGGGAGAAGCAGGCTTCCCACGGAGCAGGGAGCCCGATGCGGGGCTCGATCCCAGGACCCTGGGATCATGACCTGAGCCGAAGGCAGACGCTCAACTGACTGAGGCACCCAGGCACCCGATTATATTGTCTTTTTTTTTTTTTAAAGATTTATTTATTTATTTATTTGACAGAGACAGACACAGTGAGAGAGGGAACACAAGCAGGGGGAGTGGGAGAGGGAGAAGCAGGCTCCCCACGGAGCAGGGAGCCCGATGCGGGGCTCGATCCCAGGACCCTGGGATCATGACCTGAGCCGAAAGCAGACGCCCAACGACTGAGCCACCCAGATGCCCCATGTATAATTCTTTTTTAAAAATATTTTATTTATTTATTTATTTGACAGAGCTTGCACAAGCAGGGGGAGCTGCAGACGAAGAGGGAGAAGCAGGCTCCCCCCTGAGCAGGAAGCCTGATGTGGAGCTCGATCCCAGGACCCTGGGATCATGACCTGAGCTGAAGGCAGACGCTTAACCGACTCAGCCACCCAGGCACCCCAAGATTTATTTTGGAGAGGTGGGGGGGTTGGGCAGAGGGACAGAGAGAATCTCAAGCAGACTCAGCGCTGAGCTCAGAGCCTGATGCGGGGCTTGATCTCACGACCCTGAGATCATGACCTGAGCTGAAGTCATGAGTTGGACACTTAACCTACTGAGCCACCCAGGCGCCCCAGCCATAATTTTTTTGAATACTTTTTCTGCTCCTTTCTCTCTCCTTTCCTTCTGGTACTCCCATATATGTTGGTACACTTAATGGTGTCCCATATTTCTCTGAGGTTTTATTCATTTTTCTTCATCTTTTTTCTCTTCTGTTCTTTGGCTTGCATAGTCTCTTTTGATCTATTTCAGGTTCATTAATTCTTTATTTTTCCAGTTCAAATCTGCTGTTGGGCCCCTTTAGTGAATTTTTTCATTTCAGTTATTGTACTTTTCAATGCCAGAATTACCATTTGATTCTTTTTTATGCTTTCTACCTCTTTATTGATAGTCTTACCTTCCTTTACTTCTTTTTTTACCTTCATTTCTTTTTTTAAAATTATTTAAGATTTTATTTATTTATTTGACACAGAGAGAGAGGGAGAGCACAAGCAAGGGGGAGTGGCAGGCAGAGGGAGAGGGAGAAGCAGTGCTGAACAGGGAGCCCGATGCGGGACTCGATCCCAGGACCCTGAGATAATGACCTGAGCTGAAGGCAGACAGACACTTAACCGACTGAGCCACCCAGGCGCCCCCTTCCTTTATTTCTTTAATGATGGGTTTTTTTTGTTTTCTTTTGTTTTTTTTTAGCTCTTTGGACATATTTATATGGCTAATTTGAAGTCTTTACCTGTCAAATCTGATATCTGGTTGCTCTCATAGGCAGTTTCTGTTGCTTTTTTGTCTGCTTTGTAGGTCATACTTTCCTGTTTCTTTGTATGTCTCATAATTTTTTGTTGGAAACTGGACATTTTAGATAATATAATGTAGCAACACTGGGTACTGGCATCGCACCCCCGCCCAAGGCACTTTGTTATTTGCTTATTTCTTTAATGACTGGCTAGATTATTTTACTAAAGTCTATTTACTCCCCACTTTTTTTTTTTTGAGGGGCAGAGGAGGTGGGGGTAGAGGGAGAGCGATAAAATCTTAAGCAGCCTCCATGTCCAGCACAGAGCCCTGACACGGGGCTCAATCTCACTACCCTGAGATCATGACCTGAGCCAAAATCAAGAGTCAGACACTTAACCAACTGCGCCACCCAAGTGCCCCTATTTACTCCCCATTTTTGCCCTGCAGTGTAAGTCTTGTTGTTTCTTAGGGGTGCAGCCTTTGTTATGCCCCAGTCACCCTGGGATGACATTGGTTTTGGCAGGGCTCTTTTTGACTTTTCCCTCACCACACCACACTGTTAAGCTGAACTGGCTGATTGCTCTGTTGTTTTTAATACCCTGGGACATAAATTGTTCTACAAACTGATCCAGTCAAACTAGAGCTCCTTCAAAGGGATAGTTCCTGAGATCAGTATTTGAGATTTTTTTCTGACCCCAGGATTGTTCCTCCCAGCTCTCTCTTTCCCTGGTTCTCCAGCATGCTAGCCAGCCTAGGCTTGAACTTCTCCACACTCGGTTGCAAATGAAGTCAACTCCCAATGGGGAGAGATTTCGAGCCCTCTCCTCTATGGTCTACTTCTCCCCCTGGGCAAAGTCTCTGAGCCACAGCGCTAGTGTAGAGGGTGGGGACAATGATGTATTTCCCTCTGAGTGATAGCCCCAGGTCTCCTAGGTTTGCCTCTCCTCATGTAGAACCCCCACTCGATGAGCTGGAGTCAGGGCAGTTGGAGCCTCAGTATTCTTGGTGGCACCACAGCCAAGGTATAGCCTCCATCCCAGGAGCGGGGGCCATCTGGAAGAAGGAAGGCCCAACCTCTCAGCTACTCTTGTCTGGAACTTAACCTCAGCAACAGGTAGCTGGGGCAGGATGAAAAATGCTGTCATCCTGCTCCTACCAGGAGGAAAGCCTTACACCTGGGAGCTGAGGGAGAGAGAGCTCTGTGTTCTTGGCTGCACCAGTCTGGTATGAAATCTGTGCTGGGAGAGGTCCAAATACCACAAATTCTTTCTTACTGAGTTTTAGTAGATTTTCTTCAATAAATGCGTCTTCATTTGCTGTATGCCCATAAAGCCATTGCTAGAGACTTTAAATGAATAGCTCTTTGTTTCTTTTTAAAGTAATTTTCACCAGTTTCACTGGGGAGTGGGTTGGTGAAGCTCTTCACACTGTCATGCCAGAAGTGGAACTTTGTTAGCTTTTTAACACAGTTTTGTTTCTGTTCCCCCGTAATTGCTCACAATGGCCTTGTACTAGGGTTTCTATCTCCTTTGTAGATTCTGAGTGGCTCAAAGGCAGTAGCTCTGACCTTTATTCCTTGTGGAATCATGATCGCCTCTAATAGCATTTTGTATACTGTGGCACATAGAAGACTGTCAGTTACTCATTGTATCACTGTCTTTTCTAGTTCATTTCTTCAGTACTTGCTTTGTAACTTGGAGTGCCTTCCATTTTTCTATACTCTAGTGCTGGTGTGTTTCCAGAAAAGTTGTGCCTCTTTTTTATCTGCCATTGGCCACACATACACAAGGAAGGGCACTTAAGTTTTAAGTTTTAGTCAAACCCATTATACATTTTTCACAATATTAGGAGCTTTCTTTTTTTTTAAGTGCTGATGATCTCTCTTTTTTTAAGATTGTATTTATTTGTTCATTTGAGAGAGAGAGCACATGTGAGCAGGGGGAGGGGCAGAGGGGGAGGGAGAGGAAGAGGGAAAGGATCCCAAGCAGACTGTGCACTGAGTGCAGAGCCCTACGTGGGGCTCAATCTCAGGACCCTGAGATCAGGACCCTGAAACCAAGAGTCAGATGCTTAACCAACTGAGCCACCCAGGCACCCCTATAGGCAAAAATGGGGAGTAAACAGGGGCACCTGGGTGGCGCAGCTGGTTAAGTGTCCGACTCTTGATTTTGGCTCAGGTCACCAGTGAAACTGGTGAAAATTACTTTAAAAAGCTTTCTTGTGGTATGTGTGTGTGCGTGCGCGTGTGTGTGTGTGTATAAATTTTAAATTAGGCTAGTTGTTTGGGGGATAGGGGCAGGGAGAAAGAAAGGGAAAAAGGGCAGACAGAAAAGCAGTATGGGGGCGCCTGGGTGGCTCAGTTGGTTAAGCAACTGCCTTCGGCTCAGGTCATGATCCTGGAGTCCTGGGATCGAGTCCCACATTGGGCTCCTCGCTCAGCGGGGAGCCTGCTTCTCCCTCTGACCCTCTCCCTTCTCATGCTGTTTCTCTCTCCCTCGCTGTCTAATAAATAAATAAAATCTTTAAAAGAAAAGCAGTATGGTTGTGCTCTTAAAGGTGGGACATGCCTCATTTGTTCTTTCTTCAGCCAACTATATCTCATGCCTTTTGACCTTGGCCCTTGACAGCTCTGCCTTGCAAATGCTTTTTCCTTTCCTGCTCCTCCCCTACTGGGGTTCCCTAGCTGGTGATGGCCACATGGCTACCCACTTTTGTTTGGGTGGACAGTGGTCATGTGGCCCCCTCTGAGGCAGCCAGTTCTGGACCATTGATACGGTGCTGCTTGGGCATCCTCCTAAGGCTCATATATGGCCTCCTCAGTCTTTGTTACCCTCCGTGTTGGAGAATTTGATAGTATCCTTCTCCCATCACTGTCATTTGAGAATATTTTTGGCAGAAATAATTTGATTTGTGTGATTTGCCTGCTGCTGCTTCTTGGGATCTATAGGGCAGTGTTGACTGCCTTTGAAACGGATGTGTGTGTGTGTTGACTGTTTTATTCAGTGTTGTTCTCTTTCCCAGGATGCTCCAGGATGAAACGCCATAGAACACTCAGCAGCAGTGACAGTTCAGACGAGAGTGAGTAGAACCGGCCAACCGTTGGTAACTCTGTATCTATACCCTTTGAGGGTTTATTCTTTGACTTGAAGACAAGCTGTTTCATGTTTCTTTCAGTGGTTAAAAAATAACATATCTAGGAAGGAAAGCTTAGGGTACTATTTATCTTATTCATTTAAATTTCATTAGAAATAGGTGGGAAAATTGTGGGGTTTTTTGTGGCATATAGCATTTTGTTGTTTACTTTTCATTTACCAAAACAACAAAAGCCAAATCTAATAATGATTTAACAGTACTTTCTAGAAAGGACAAAAAGTATGAGAGCATAAATTATAGGCCCTACAATTCCAATTGTAACTAGGTATTAAATGTTTGACTGGGTGAATCATCATTTGTAGCATTTGGGGGAGGGCTGAAGGATACACAGATTACTTGCCTCACATTTTTAGTTTTTCCAGTTGCTTTTGCAGATACTTTTTCTCCAGGTGGAATGTGAATCATATTGTTTCAAAATGTTGTGAAGTATGACTACACCAAATCAAACCTCCTCAGCATTAGCACTGTTGAAGCTTTTACATGCTGGGAGGTCATCTATAAATGTCGTTAAACACCATTATGAGTCTTTCTTGATTGCAATTTAACTGTTTTCTTCAGTGGTATGAGATGACTGTGCTCTTCTCCATCATACCTTTCATATTCTCTTGGATGACATTTAGTTTTGTGACATTTAGTAATATTAGCAAGTCTCAGTATTTTTTGTCTAATTATCTTTTGCAGGTCCTTCCACTTCCTTTACTTCTGGCTCAATGTATAGGAGCAAGTCAAGAATTCCAAATGAACACAAGAAGCCTGCTGAGGTGAGATCAGATATTTAATTTTTAGACTTAAAAAAAATAGATAGCTGCCTTCTGCCTACATACTTACAATGGCCAAATCTTAGAGATGTGAGGATTAAACTATGTGCCAAGGGATAGACTTGTTTTCTTATGAATTTTTTTGGTTTTTAAGAAAGATTCCGTTTTCTTATCCCTTTGGGAAAACAGTAATCATCACACCGATTTCATTTTGGTGATGACATTTAGGTGCCTGGCTTTAGAATATAAGGCCTCCCCTAGCCAAGAAGTCAAAGGGAGCCAGACTTGGGGAATTGGGAAGGACCCAGAGATCTGGCCTTGATTGGAAAGAGCTAAGTTGGCAGGTGGAAGGCAGTGCAAGTAGGGATTGATGGGAAGATTATGGATGGAGAGGGGAAAGAGAGGTTGAAGATCTGAGCTATGGGCTTTGAGGGGTCTTTATAGACTTCAGAGCACTGCCAGCCCAAAGAAAATAAATCATTCCTTGTGAGGCTGGTCATCCTCTTTTTTAAAAAAAGATTTTATTTATTTGAGAGAGAGAGAGCATGAGAGAGAACATGAGAGTGGGGGAGGGGCAAAGGGAGAGGGAGAAGCAGAGTCCCTGCTGAGCAGGGATCCTGACTCGGGGCTCAATCCCAGGACTCTGGGATCATGACCTGAGCTGAAGGCAGACGTTTAACCAACTAAGCTACCCAGGTGCCCTGAGGCTGGTCATCATCTACCCCAAGGGCAGCAAAATGCCAGGGTTGCACTTGGACTTGGTAATGGTTTTGCGGATCCTATAGACTTTCCTCTATGATAATTAAATGATGAAAACTGACATTGTGTGTCTTCACTTCTGTGAGTAGACTTCTTTAGCTGCAAAGGAAAAGGAGTGTATTAGTTAACTATTGCTACATTACAAATGATCACAAAACTAGTGGCTTAAAGCAGCAAACATTTATTATCTCAGTTTCTGTGAGTCAGGAGTCTGGGCACAGCATACCTAGGTTCTCTGTTCCAGGTCTTTCAAGGCTGCAATCAGTATGCTGACTGGGCTATGTTCTGGAGATTCTACTAGGGAAGAATTCACTTCCACGTTCATTCAGGTTGTTGGCAGAATTCATCTCCTTGCAGCTACAGGACTGAGATCCCTGGTTTTTGCTGGCTTTTGCTGGAAGACTACCCTCTGCTCATAGAGACTGCTCCTAGTTTTTTGCCATATGGCCTTCTCCATACATCCTCTCAAAACATGGCAGCTTACTTTTTCAAAGTCAACAAGGGGAGAATCTTTTGCTCCAGTCTGCTAAGACTGAGTCTTTTTTTTTTTTTTTAAAGATTTTATTTATTTATTTGACAGAGAGAGACACAGCGAGAGAGGGAACACAAGCAGGGGGAGTGGGAGAGGGAGA